CACCCCCCTCCCGCCCCCGCCACACACACACACACACACACCTAGATGCCAGGACAGACACACACACCCCGACATCAGACTTGCCGCTGCTCCATGCCCACGCACGAGGTTCCACCACCTGAGGAACCTTCACTTGTGTTTTAGAATTCTTGGGGGAGGAGGCGGCGTGGGCATGCACACTCCTCTAGCCCCACCAGTTCAGAGCAGTTAGGAGCGAGTGACCCGTCGGCTTCGACCTACCCAGTCTGCGGCCCCCACCCATCCTGGCTACCTCCTCTGGCCCATGGCAGACCCTCACATGACGCCCCAAAGACCCCCATCCAGCCCAAAGGACATGCCCGGGTGTGAAGGCTGCCTCCATTCTGACCAGCTGAAGCAGCTGGGGTCCCAGGAGCTGAAAAGCTGCCCCACAGCCCTGCCATTTCCAGCCAGATCTCATCGGAGGCTGGGCCAACGAGAAAGTACTGTGTGCTCTTGAGGGAAAAGGCGGGTCCCTTCGGGATACATCTTCCCCTGAGGACCCAGCACGCTCCCCTGGGGATAGAGGTCAGCCCGCTGGTCGCCATGGTTACAGCCAGTGTCTGGAATTCCTCCTTTCCGGCTCTGGGAACAGAACTGCTCAACTAGAGCCCAGCTGAGTGTTTTCTTTTGAAGTTATTTATGGTTTGGTGCCTGCATGGTCAGTCAGTTTTGTCTCAAGGAGCGGCCCTTGGAGGCAGCCGAGGCTGGGGGGGAACCCGCAGGGAACACGGGGTGGGGTAGAGAAGAGGAAGTAAGGGGGTGATGCTGACGTTATCCCTAAAAGGTTTGTCCTAAGGGGCCGCCGCATGGTGGTCCACCGAACCCCTAGGCCCTTCTGTTTAAGCCCCATGTGGAATGAATCTCAGAAGCCACCAACATGCTTCGTGTCCAGAAGGCAGCATCAACTGGCTGTCCTCACCTCCTCCCTGAGAGGAGGCCAGCTTTGAAAAGCCTCAGAGAAATCCCTCTGAAGCTAACACATTGCCTTCAGGGCCAGAGGCCTTGCAGCCAAGCACCACATGTCCCCAAAGTCGCCCCGCCCAAACCTGGAGCAGAACTCAGTAACAGACCTCCGTCTCTGGGGGAGGCGCTGACAGCTCAGCAGGGGCTGCCTGCTTAAGGATCCCATGCACAGACCCGCTTCTGATTTCCCGGACATCTTCTACATCAGAGGTGAGCGCTTCTGAAGCCCAGAGGGCTGAGTTCTGGTCTGAGGAATACACAGACAAGCGCAGGATCCAGCTGTGCTGCCACAGCAAGTCGCTGTCTGAAAGGGTGAGGGCCGCAGCCCTCTCGTGGGATTGGCCACAGTCAGCAGGTTTGCACTGCACCGTGCTTCCTTCACCGTTCGCAGACGTCAGCCGTTCGCGGACGTCTCCGCCCTGCGTGTCCCTGTTCAAGAAGTGGTCTAGAGAACTGGCCTTCAGTCAAAAGGACTCCAGCTGTGAAAACTTGACCCTGGACCCTTTCTGGCCGGCCCAGAAATGCTGGCTTATCTTCCCCAGCCCCCACACTGCCCTGTCCTCTGTTCTCCAAGTGGAGTGGGGTGAGGTGGGGGGCAGTGACCTCTACACAGGCTCTTCTTAGAGGACCCCCAAGAGTGGACAGCAGGCTTGTCCCATCCTTCCTAAAGCTCTGGCCACTCAGCTCTCTGAGGCTTTCACCGAGAACAGACCTTTGGGAAGACTTCTCAGGACATCCATGTTCTGTACACTGCATGTTGACTTTATTTATTTATTTTGGGAAAAGGAAGAAACAGAAAATGCCTTAGGATTGGCAGGGATGCAAAGTTGTACCAAAATCAAAAAGAGAAAATAATAATGGCCATGCCCACAAGGACGTTTGAGGACAATTCAGAATGAGGGGCTGAACCCAGAGTCCCTGGACTCAGTGGCCCCGGGGTATTGTATAAGGAAGTTTGTTTGTTTGTTTGTTTCTCTCATAGGATTGAAGATGCAATCTTAGGGCCCTTTGCTTAGTTGTCTGAGACAGCACACATCCAAGTGTGTGTTGCTTTGAAATGTATCCCGCTGGGCTCAGCCACGCGCTGGGAACCCACAGGGCTTGGGGAAGGGCAGTGTGGGCTAACTACTGACCTTACACACCATGGGCATGGGCCATGCCTTCAGGGTTTTCCGAAGGAAGCTGCAGTGGGGAAGGTGGCAGCGCTGGGACCAGTGTCTGTTTCCAGGGAGGCCAGCTCTTGTTTGTTCTGCCCATTAAAACAGTTCCGAAGACTCCAGGCCTGGATCAAACAGCCCACCCACCGCAGGCTGGCCCTGGCTTCAGCCTGGGCTACGTGTGTAACCAGAGTGGATGTGAGGCCTCGGGGTGCGCCGGAGGGCAGTCAGTGGGGCAGGAGTCCTAAGTCCTCTAGGCCAGGGAAAGGTAATGGGCATGCAGTGCTACCAAGATGGAGGCACCAAATTCTAGCCTGTTGTCTCTTTAATTGATACACACGCTTGAAAACAATCATGAAATGACCACGCCCTTCTTTCTGAAGCATAGTAGGCTTACTGTCTGCTGGGGCTCTCCGCCTGAGGACCCCACAGCAGCGCCAGGCACCCACCCATCCCATCACGATTGCCGTCCTCCCCATCATCTCTGCCACATGTCCTCCAACAAGGTGCCCCGTGGTGGCACTTGTAGACCACGGGAACTGAGCCTGGGTGGTAGCGCAGCAAGCATCTAGTGGTCTGGACCTGACCCCTGAAGTCGCCAACCCTTGGTGATCCCACACGGGGGTCTGTTTACATGGACTGTAGGACTGGGTTCTCAACAGATCCTAGACTGGGAAAGGGAGAGTGGGCTGGGTGACTGTCCATGACAGTCCCAGTCTGTTGGGTACGACCCCTCCCAGACCACCTCCAAAGGTTGGGTGGGTCTCAGAGGGGGGGACTCTTGAGGTATGGGGAGCAGAGAAAACAGACAGATGCCTGAAGAAGCCCATTTTCAACGACACTTCGGTTAAAGAAGTGTCTTTTCCAGCTAGCTTTGTGAACTGAACAAAGCGCGTTTGCAGACATCCGGAAGCCTGGGGTTGGTAGGTTTGCTTGTGAAGAGACCTTTGCTCATGCCTCTTATAGCCACCACCACCTGGCCAAGTGCATGGGTCCAGCTGGCAGGAGGCAGAGAGCCCAGACCTTCCTGAGTGCCAGCTATGTCATCTCATCTGCCCTTCTACAGCTGATGGTTGCAGCAATAGTGGAGGCCGCTCCTTACCTCAAAAGATGAAGACGCATTGGCAACTTCAGGGGTTGGAAGGACTTCAAGACCCTTTGCCCCATGTCTCTTGTCTCCCCGTGACGGTGTCCAAGGGACTCGTATGTGTTCGCGGGGGGCAGACCTGGTGCCATCGTAGCAGACCGTGGCTCTCATGATGGACCAGGTGCTACCTGTAGGAAATAAAGTGGCCCACGGCGCCTGCTTCCTCTAGACCTGGGCAGGCCCTGATGTCTCCGTCGGCGAGTGTCCAGACTGTTTGGATCCTCTGGGGCCCTACACCGCTGGGCTGCTCGCACAGCCTCGGTTCTGTGTTATGGGCCACAGTGGTGCATGCGTGCCATGCCAACCCCCCCGCCCCATGGTTATATGTGGCATAGTATGTACAGATGTGTGCACACCTGTGGACATGTAATTGATGTGTGTAATGTAATTCTGCGTGGCCACGGCCACAGATGATCTGCTGTTTCCTGGTGACGCAGGGGTTGCCCTTTGGAGTGCTGGGGGCGGCCAGTCAGGGTCTGCGTACAGGACAGAATGTGAACCTAGGGACCCATCCCCTGAGGATGCACTCGACTTATTTAATTAAAAACAAAAACATGCAACAAGCAAAAGCTCACATGTGACTGCTTTTCTGTGGCCTCTGTTCCCAGTAGCAATGAACAGCCAGAGCAGATGGATGGCTTGCAGGGGACCCCCTTCCCCATTGAATGGTAAAATGAGCCTTTTTTTTTTTTTTTTGGTACCAAGATGTCAGAGTGGAGAGTACCTGACGGAGGCGGCTGCAAGAAGGAAGCCAGAGAGAAGCACCTGAGCCGCATGGGCCAGAGACAGGGGTGCCAGGCTTGGGGTCAAGGAGCCTGGGGACAGGCCCCATCTGGCTATGTGACCTTGGTCAAGTCGTGTCCTTTAGCGTGAGCACACGATCCATGATTTGCAGCCATTGTTTCGGTCAAAGGCCCTACAGAGTCCCTAGGTGGTACAGGTAGCCAACACACTCAGCTGCTAACCATGAGGTGCCTCGGAAGAAAGGCCTGGTGAGCTCCTTCTGAGCAACCCCCCATAGCACCCCTGTGGAGCGG